CCGTAGTGATACTGCCTCGGAAACCCAAGGAGGGGTCGCTATGAGTCGGGGCCAACTCGACGGCAAACAACAACAACAAGTATAGGCTCTGTTTTCCAGGGTTGGCAGGGACATACAAGAGGCTAACAATAGGAGATAGGTGGTGAGTGTATAAGTGCTGTCAACTAGTGAATAGAGGAGCACAGTACCCTGCTTGCATAGATAACATACAAATAAAGGAAATGAAAATCGTGGGCAAGTCACTCCAACATACAATCACCAATTAAATAGAAACACAAAAACATCACAGTGCCTCAGAGACAACAGAGCATCACAGTCCACACAAAGAAGCAAGATAAAGCAGGAGAAACAAGGGACCAGGATACAGACCCAAAACACATCCCTGAAGAAGACGCAGCATTGGAGCTCCCTGATAAGGAATCAAAAAAAGTTTATTTAGGTATCTTCAACGAATTGAGAGACAGATCAAGGAAAACACAGAGAAAACCCTAGGACAATTTCAAAAGACAATGCAAGAACAAAATGACAAAATAAATGAAAAATTAGAAATGATACAGAATCTGCACACAGAAATATAGAAGATCAATACTAAATTTTCAGAAAAAGATAAGACATAGAATGGGCAAAGGAACAGAATTGAATCAATGGAAGACAGAATTAGGGAGATTGAAGACAAATACCTGAACACTTCGGCTAAAGGGGCAGGGAGGCCACATCTTTTGACCTCTTCTAACCACACAAGAGGAAGACAGAATCACTATCAATAGCCCAAGCCCTGTTCCTGTGAACCAGACTTGCTGCCTCCCTCCAGCCCTTTCACCAACCCTGACACCAACCATTCCTCCTGCAGCACCCACCACCTTTCTGCTGGGTTCGATAATTTGCTGCAGTGGCCACACAGAACTCACAGATTATGGGGTTGAACAGGGGAGCACCAGGCTACAATTCAAGTTCAGGAACAACGCTCAGTCTCTCTCAGCCTGCCGTCTCTCACCCAACAGTCTCTCACAGTCTCTTTCCCAGCACTGTGTCTCTCAGTGTCTCTCTCAGCAATGAGTGTCCCTTGCATCTCTTTCCCAGCAGCATGCGTCTTTCAGGAGCACGTGTCTTTCAGGAGCGCGTTTCTCTCAGGAGCGCGTTTCTCTCAGGAGTATGTTTCTCTCAGCAGCATGTCCTTCTCAGCCAGCAGTCAGAGAGACTTCTGCCTCTAGGAGGCCTCTTTTTGAGCCTAGCAGAGTGGCCAAACTAACCAATCATAACATCAGAATGCTAAGCACCTGAGGGATAGCAAACTTCCCAGAATATTGCTTTGTGCCACTCTCAACAGAAATACCCCAGGTGGATAACTTTAATAATCAGGAGCTCCTCAGTTGCTCACAGCAAATTCTACCATGGAGTTTACAGAGACTTATGGCTTGAAAAGCCATACCAGGTAATTTGCTACACCGCAACTTCTTTGGAAAGGGATAAATGAGAAAAAAGATCAAAACAAAATGAAGAAAGCTTAAGGTTCATTGAGATACCATAAAAAGCAATAACCTATGTGTAATTGGAATTCCAGAACAGGAAGAGAAAAATAAAACCACAGAGAAAATTGTCGAAGATTTGTTGGAAGAGAATTTTCCTTGTATGATGGAAGATGAGAATATATCTATTCAGGAAGTCCAATGAACCCCAAACAGGATAGACCCCAAAAGAAAATCACCAAGACATATCATCATCAAACTTAACCAAAACCAAAGACAAAGAATCATGAGAGCAGCACAGGAAAAATGAAAAGTTACCTACAGTGGGCAACCAATAAGACTAAGCTTGGATTTTTCAACAGAAACCATGCAGGCGAGAAGACAAAGGGATGGTATATATAAAACCCTGAAAGAGAAAAATTTCCAAACAAGAATTATGTACCCAGCAAAATTGTCCCTCAAATATGATGGTGAAATTACATTTCCAGATAAGCAGAAATTAAGGGAATTTGTTAAAACCGGACCAACCTTACAAGAGATGCTAAAGGGAGCCCTTTGGACAGAGAAGCAACAACAGCCCACAACTACTGACCATTAACACACATGATGACATAACCCAGAAACCAACCCAGCTATGGAAGTATCCAAAGTAAAGAAGCCTACAAGATTGTAAACAGGGAACCAGAGACATCAATTGACAAATGAGGACAACTACAAACCAAAAAGAGGGAAAAAACTGTGTCATTACAGAACTTCTAGATGGTAGGGAAGTCAAGACAACTACAAGATAGAACGGACTGTTCTAAACTTGGGAAGGAAACTGTAAATCACAGGGTAACCTCAAAGAAAAACGATAAACCTTCACATCAAAAAAGAGGACCAGCATAAACAGCAAATACTAAAACAATAGCAATGAAGGGAGTGATAACACGATTCATAAACAAAACGAGCTCAGCATGGAAAATTACATGGAGCAAAGAAATCGACACCACAAAAAAGCACATAACAAAAATGGCAGCAACAAATTCATATTTGCCGATAATTACATATCTGGCAAGGGACTTACCTCCAAGATTTATAGCGGAAGAATGGATGACCAAACTATGGTACAGTCACGTAATGGAATGCTATGCAGCACTAAAGAATAATGTAGAGTCTGCAAGACACCACATAATATGGATGAACTTGGAGGACATTATGCTGATTGACATAAGTCAATCAGAAGGACAAATATAGTATTAGTTCATTGTTGTGGAGGGCAAAGGAAAGGTTTATATATGGAGGGAAACTTTCTTTGTTGGTTGCCAGGGGTGGGAGGGGAGGGGAGGAAACACTGCAAAAAAAAAGTATTGACCCATGTCACTTTAGTTTTGTGTATTTCACTATACATAAATTATATTTCAATAAAATGCATTAAAAAAAAAACACAGGAAGAAATACTTCATGATGTACACACAGGTCTCAAGGCTCACAGCTGGTAGGTGTTGCTGGCAAGGGGATTTGAACACAGGCCCTGGACCCAGCCCACGCTTAGTCATCTGCAATGCATGATGTTGGTGATATGTGCAGGGCAGGAATGAGGAGACGGGGGGGAACCATCATGGGGGGAAGGAGGGGTGCAGAGAAGGGGAGGAAGTGACATGGGGGGAAGGACGGAGTGTGGAGAAGGTGAGCAGCTGTCATGGGGGTTAGGGGCATGCAGAGAAGGGGAGGAACCATCATGAGGGGCAGGAGGGGTGAGGAGAAGGGGAGGAACTGTCATGGGGGGAAGGGGGAGTGTGGAGAAGACGAGGACCTGTTATGGAGGGCAAGACCCGGGATGCAGAGAAGGGGAGGCACCATCATGGGGAAGGGGATGTGGAGAAGGTGAGGGACCATCATGAGGGGCTGTGGAGAAGGTGAGGGACCATCATGAAGGGAAGGGGGGGTGCAGAGAAAGGGAGGGGCCGTCATGGGGGGAAGATGGGCATAGCAGGAAAATGCACTGAAGGTGGGGAGGTGCGTGTGGGGCTCCTCACCTGCCTGTCCAGTCCGTGGCCTTGCTAAGGGAGTGACCAGGGCTGTGTTCCCTCACAGGCTGCAGGCCATTTGAGCTGAGCTCAGGCAGCCCTGCCAGCCACCCTCTCCCTGTCCTGCGAGGGCACAGAGGCTTCAGTGAGCGGCTGACGGTGCACTGTCCCTGTCGAGTACGTGTTCACGTCTGTCAGGTGCTAGTCCCCACTCTCTGCCGGGTGAGGGTCCTCACTCTCTCTGTCAGGGGTGAGAGTCTCCACTCTCTCCATCTGTCAGGTGAGAGTCCCCACTCTGTTAGGGGTGAGGGTCCCCACTCTGTCTGTCATGTGAGAGTCCCCACTCTCTGTCAGGGGTGAGGGTCCCCACTCTCTTGGGCTGTCGGGTGAGGGTTCCCACTCTCTCCATTTGTCATGTGAAAGTCTCCGTTTGGTCTGTCGGGGGTGAGGGTTCCCACTTTCTCCATCTGTCGTGTGAAAGTCCCCATTCGGTCTGTCGGGGGTGAGGGTCCCCACTCTCTGTCAAGCACGCCTGCCCTCTGTCGGAGGGGAGAGTCCCATCTTTGTCTCCCAGGCGGGCCCCTCGCAGCAGCCGTAGGTGGGGTGCTGACGGGGAGGGTGGAGCCCGAGTGAGGAGGATGAGCCCCCCACAGCCACACGGCCTCTGCGTATTCCCCGTAGCGTTCACTGCTGCCCTTCAGCTTTTTAAACCACTTGAAGGGTGAAGTGGCTAGGCGTGCAGGTGAACGGGCCCTTGAGCTGCTGCGGCCGTGTCTTGGCCTTGGAGGTCCCAGGCCTGCTCTTAGTCCGCTGCCCATGGCCCAGCCCAGGTCTGAAGTGGGGGACTGTGCTTTCACCCTTTACAAAAGCTCTGCTGAGCCCTAAACGTGACAAGACTGTGCCATCAAAAACCAGAACGAAAAGCCTGCTGGGGGAGGAAGGAGCCTGGGGGGAACCGGGGCGCTGTCTGATCATCTCTACTTTGTGCAGTGAGTGGCCAGGCCGTCCCAGAGGCTGCTCACTTGCCAAATGGCCGGATTTGTGCTGTGTTTTTAAGCCACAGTTTGCCAGGTGACCACATATGCTGCTTCCCCCATTCAGGCAGCAGATTCATGCTGCACCCCGATGAGTGAGGTGCTGGGGGCGGCCCCGAGCCAGACCAGCGGGGTCACTCCGCCCTTGTGTCAGGACACAGACACGGAACGGGCCACAGAGCAAGAGCCAGGAAGAACAGGGGCGCAGGGCTTCTAGCAGCCTGGATGGAGGTATCTGACCCTGGGGAGAGGAGCAAGGGGCTTTCTGGGAAAAACCCGTGCAGCTAGAGCCCCCCAGCACCCCACATCATCACTTCATAATGATTTGTGGCCCGGTCTTCTCAGAGAGACCAGACTGAGGTGGCCGGGGTCCTGACACCCCACCCCAGCGGAGCAGAGCCCTGTACTGGCTGCAGCCGGGGGAGTCAGCACACGGTTTCCTTCCTCCCTCCCCGTCCCTTTTGGTCCCCAGTTTATCACCAGAAGCTCATTTGGACAACAGCTGTTCAGCCTCAGAAGTTTCTAACCCCATTCAAGCTGCATATTCTGATTTTGTGAATAAATTTGTAATAGACACAGTCTTGTCCAGACAGAAGGTGGCAGAGTTCAGCACAGACAAGCATCTCATTGCCTTCTGCATCTGACGTAAATGTCTGTGGCTGACCGAGGGTGCTCGGTGAGGGCTGTGGCCAGGGACCCCCCAGCCCCAGTGCACCCCAGCAGTGAACAGAAATACTTCCACACTCAGCTCTGCAGGGCCAAGAATTCTGAGTTAGGAATCAGAAGTCCTGGGTTCGAATTCCACCACTGCCCCCTTGCTCATGGGATTTAGGACAGTGACCTAACCTCTGAGCCCGTTTCCTCCGGTCTGAAGTGATGACCGCGTCCGTCGTTCTGGGTCGGGATGGTGATGAGAGCCCAGCCTGCTCTAGGTGGGGGCATTTCACTGTCCCTCACACCCAGCGAGTCAGCCGGCAGGAAAGGCAAGGGGCTTCCCCAGGGGTGGATCTAGGGTGTGGCACGTGTGGCACGGGCCCTGGGCTCACTGGAGGGGGCGCCCACGAGCAGGTTCTGTCGCCTGGCGGTGGCAGACCCCTGAGCAATTTAAAGCGAACTGTCACAGGCTACGTTTTCTGTAGCCGTGCTTCTGGGCTGGCAGCCAAGACTCCCGACTTTCGGCTATAGCAGCCAGGCTGTCTTCTGCCCGGGCCCTGGCATCAGCACTCACACAGCCCGAGGAAGAGATGTTGATTGGAAAATTGGCCGTAATGGGAGAGCAGGGAGGCCTGGTGTAGGGAGTGGATCCTGAAACCCCCCCATCCTGCTCCCCCTCAGCGGGTCACTCCACCCCTGCTTCCTGGCTGAGGTGGGGTCCGGCACCAACCCCGCAGAGGCTGTGTGTGAAGGTCTTAGAGAAAGCAGCTGTGTCTTTGGCCACCCTAGGCAGCACCTCATTCATGCTTCCTTTGTGGCTGTTGCCAGGTGGGATCTGGGGGCTGGATAAAGTGTCAGCTTACAGATGTGGGGCACTGTTGTCAGGTCACTCGGCTGCTTACCAAGAGCCAGGAGGTTGGGGTCCACCCCTAGGCACCTCGGGGGGGAAAGGCCTGGTGACCTACTTCTGGAAAAGGCAGCCGTCGGAACCCTGCGGTGCAGTCCTACTCTGACGCACATGGGGTCGCCGGGAGCTGGAGTCAGCTCCCTGTCACCAGGTTCTGCCTCTCCTCACTGGCTCTGTGGCCTCCAAGGGATGGTGGGTGGCCCGGAGGCCGGCAGGGGCGGGTCAGGCTGCTGCAGAGGGAGGGTCTGTGGTGACCCGTGGTGGCTGCTCTCCTTCCAGGTACGATGAGGAGCTGGCCCAGGGCGACGGGCCTGAACGGGAGCTGAGAAGCCGGACGGGGCAGCCGCTGGGGCCCAAAGGCAGCCGTTCGAGGGACTCGGGGAGAAACGTCCTCACAACCTGGAAGTAGTGGCCAGCGACGGACTCTGACGGCGTCAGAGCTCGCGCCCACCCTGGGCCTGCGGAAGACTGATTTTGGAAATGGCCCGTCCCTGTAGCTCTTCTCCCTCCCTGCGCACTGTGAAGGGACAGAGGCACTTGGAGGGCGACGGAGCCGAGCGCGTTAGGATGGAAGCGCTAGTGCCTGCGATCGGGTGAGCGCACTCCTTCAGCAGAAGGGAGTAGTCTGTTTGTGTTGTTGGAGAGTTTGCTCTAAATTAAAAGCAAATTAAGGACAGACGCTCTGAAGGTCTCCAAGGGTGAGGTTGCTACAAGGAGGCGTGCATTTAATCCGCCAGCTGCTTCCCTTGCTTTGTACTTGACTTTGATTTTGAAGAAAACAGGCAACCAGAAATTTTCCTCAGTCATCTGTCTTTCCAGAGACCTCCAGAAGGGACCTGTTTCTCCCCCTCCATTTCGTACACGAGTCTGTCAGGAGTTTACACGGATGAGCACGGTCTCCTCTGTGAGGCTGGCGTGGCGGCAGCAGCCGGGCTCACTGCTGACTCAGAGGTGAGTGCTGGTGGCGACAGGGAGACACTGTGGATGGATGTGTTTACACGAGGCATCCTGGACACCAGTGACTCCCAGGACACACGGGCAGGACCCGAGCCGTGGGCTGGAGTGACTGATGCAGCCGGTACTTCCTGGGACAAGGCCCTGCCTCGGGGCTGACACTGCCGGTCCTTCTGACATTTGTTTACTGGTGCAGCCAACGTACTGCTTTGAATGCCTCCTTGAGCTCTTCTCTGGCTTTTTGTTACATTTCTCACGGCATTTCGCTGAGTGCTCACTTCAGACAGGTCTTTACCTGATCCTGTGCGTGAACACGTATCACGTGTGTGTGTTACCTGCTGTGTGCGTGGCTGCACACGCGCACATGTCGAATGATGCTTCACTCCAGGGAAGTGTTCTTCCCTATGGGTGTGGTCCAGTTTCCAGCGGGAACCCTAATACAGATGGTGTTCAGGCAAAATGCCAATAAACTGCAGCTGGGGGATTCGTCTGTGTGTTCACTTTAAGCCTGAGGTGGTCTCACCTTCGTGAGATGATCTCTGTGTGCCCTCCTGGATGTTTAGATTGGACGTTAGAAAAGCAACAAGCCGCTGCCTTCAATAATCGTATGGTTCTCCAAGTCAGCCTGGGCCCTGGCTCAGCTACTTCCTGGCTCTGTTCCCAAGGCTGACACGTGGGCTCTTGGGACCCTTGTTTCCTCAGTTATAAAATGGGTGTTTGTTACTTTTGCCTGAGAACTCCCAAGTGCATTGCTGGATGGGCCTGTCTGCCTGCCCGGTGGGAAGACAGCGGGACAAGAGCAGCCATGTGGCTGGTGGCGCCACCCTCCCTCCACACCTGCAGGCCCACCTGGAGTCGCCTAAGCCCACAGTGGTGAGCGCCCAGGCCCGGTGACCTCTACCGTCCTTCCCATCCTCCAGCGCTTACAGCCCAGGTTCTCCATTGGGCTGTGTGGCTCTGAGGACTGGGGTTCCAGTCGTGGAGGAGGCATTGTTAGTTTGCCCTGGTTGCTAGGTGAGACTGTGTCTGCTGAATAGATTCTGGTCTGTCATCAACCGCTCTATGAGCAATGTCATGTCCTGGGGCACATTTCCTGTACGCACTCCCAGAATGCACGAGCAGGACATGTGCAGCCTTCAAGAGGCTGGGTGATCTGGCTGGAAGCAACTCTGTCTACATGTAGCCCGGGGTCTCCTCCACGCCTGGGATCCCCACCCGACCAACGATGTCTGTGCTTCAGGCCTCAGGAGTCTTTCTCTTTTTAAAAAACCATTTTATTGGTTTTGCATGAACATTTGCACAGCAAATTAGGTTCCATTTGAACAATTTTTGTAATTTTTCTAAACACTTTTCCGTGTCATTGGTTGCAGTTCTCATGTGTCACCATCTCATTCTTTCCATTCTGTTTTTCCTGTTTCCGTTGATCTACCTTCCCTTCCCCTCTTGCCTTCTCACCTTTATTTCTGAGTAGGTGTTGGCATCTGTCTCGTATGGTTCATTGCTGGACGGAGCACACTACTCACAGGTGAGCCTGTGTATCCTGAAAACCAGCGTGTTTATTGCAGGGTTCTTTTTTTCCCCCCTTTTTTCTTTTTTTGGTTACTGTTCTGTGTGATTACATGGTGTATTTTTTATCCATTTGCTTTTACTTTTTTGTTGGTTATTCAATTGTTATTTTTATCTAACTGAGTGAAAGACAGAAACAGTCCCCATATGACACAACTACACCCACACCTCCTGCACTTTGACTTACTGAGTGAGAGCCACCACTTTTTCATCAACAGGTCAATGATAAACAACCACCAAGAAGAACCTGACTCATGTGTGGCTGCTCTTCACAAACAGTTAACAGAGATCTAAATACAACAATGTCACAATGTCTTGGAGACAACCGACCATCACAATTCACACAAAGAAGCAGGATAAAGTGAAAGAAACAAGGGAGCAAGATACAGACTCAGAACACATCCCTGAGAAAGAAGCAGCATTGGAACTCTCTGATAAGGAATTCAAAATAATTATATTTAGGTATCTTCAAAGGATTGAGAGACAGACCAAAGAAAACACAGACAAAACCCTAGAAGAATTTTGGAAGAAAATAGAAGAGCAAAATGACAAAATAAATGAAAAATTAGAAATGATTAAAAATCTACAGACAGAAATCCAGAAGATTAATACTAAATTGTCAGAAATAGATAACACATTGAAAAGGAAAAGGAATAGAGTTGATGCAATGGAACACAGAATTAATGAGATTGAAGACAAATACCTGATTACTTCTTTGGAAAGGGATCAGTCAGAAAAAAAAGATCAAAATGAAGAAATCCTAAGGTTCATGTGGGATACCATCAAAAGGAATAACCTATGTGTAATCAAAATTCCAGAACAGGAAGAGAAAAATAAAATGACTGAGAAAATTGTCCAAGATTTGTTGGAGGAGAACTTCCCTGAGATGATGAAAGATGAGAATATATTTATTCAGGAAGTCCAACAAATCCCAAACAGGATAGACTCCAAAAGAAAATCACCCGGACATATCATCATCAAACTCATCAAAACCAAAGACAGAGAAAGAATCCTGAAAGCAGCATGGGAAAAACAAAAAAGTTACTTATGAAGAACAACCAGTAAGAATAAGCTCTGATTTCTCAGGAGAAACCATGCAAGCGAGAAGGCAATGGGATGGTATATGTAAAACCCTGAAAGAGAAAAATTTTCAACCAAGAATATATAGCCAGCAAAATTGTCCCTCAAATATGATGGTGAAATCAGGAGATTTCCAGACAAGCTGAAACTAAGGGAATTTGTTAAACCAGACTAACCTTACAAGAGATACTAAAGGGAGTCCTTTGAACAGAGAACCAACCGAAAATAGCGAACAACAACTGACCATTAATACACAAGATGACATAACCCAGAAACCACAGCTATGGACATATCCAAAGTAAAATGAGATTACAAGTTTGTAAACAGTGAACCAGAGACATCATTTGGCAAGTGAGGACAACTACAAACAAAAAGAGGGAAAAGACTGTGTAGTTACAGAACTTTTAAATGGTGAGGAAGTCAAGAGAGTTGTAAGATAGAACGGACTGTTCTTATCTCAGGGAGAAAATTATAAATCACAGGGTAGCCTCAAAGAAAAATGATAAACCTTCACATCACAATAAAAAAGAGGACAATCACAAATATTTAGCAAATACTAAACAGCAACAAATGAAGTGGTAACACAATTCATAAACATAGTGAGCTCAGCACAGAAGATAATATGGGACATAGAAACCAGGGACACCATGAAAAACACATAACAAAATGACAGGAACCAATTCATACTTGTCAATAATTACACTGAATGTTAATGGATTAAATGCACCACTCCAGAGACAGAGAGTTGCAGATTGGAGAAGAAAACAAAACCCATCAATATGCTGTCTACAAGAGACACACCTTAGAGACAAAGACAAAAATAGACTAAAAATCAAAGGTTGAAAAAGATATATCAAGCAAATGGCAACTGAGAAAGAGCAGGAGTGGCAATACTAATTTCTGATCAAACCGACTTCAAATTTCTGATCACCAGACGAGACAAAGAAGGACATTATATAATGATTAAAGGATCAATTGAACATGAAGATATAACCATAATAAATATCTATGGACTCAATGAAAGAGACCCAAAATACATAATTCAGATTTTAAAAGAGTTGAAAAGTCAAAGAGATGACTTCACAGTCATAGTGGCAGACTTTAATACGCTACTTTCCTTAAAGATAGAACAACTGGAAAGAAACTCAACAAAGATGCAGAAGAGCTAAACAATACAATCCACCAGTGTGACCTTATAGACATCTACAGAGCACCTCACCCAACAACAGCACAATGTACACTCTTTTCCAGTGGCACATGGAACATTTTCCATGATAGACTATATGTTAGGCCATAAAGCAAGCCTTAATAAATTTAAAAACATTGAAATACTGCAAAGCATCTTCTCAGATCATAATGCTATCAAATTAGAAATCAAC